AATCCCGCGCCTATGGGAGGTTGAGGTGAGTTGATTGCCTGAGCCCGCGGGTTCGAGACCCGCCTGGGCAGCGAGACCTCATCTCTACAATAAATCAAAAATCAGCCGGGCGTGGTAGCGCATGCCTGTAATTCCGGGTACTCTGAAGGCTGAGGCAGAAGGATCGCTGGAGCCTAGCAGGTCGAGGCTGCGGTGGCCGGGAGCAGCCACTGCACTCCAGTCTGGGCGACAGAGTGAGACCCCGACTCAAAAAAAAAAAAAAAAAGTCAGTCCACAGGGGGACCCTGGTCAGGGATTCACTGGAACTAATGAAAGTAGATACCTATACTACCAGTGCCTCCACAAAAACAGAGTACAGTAAGAAATACTTTAGAATATTCCAGATCTAGAGTCATTCTAGAAAGGCCAGAGGGAACAAGAAGACAACCAGAATCAAATTAGGTACATTCATTAAAATGTGGGCTTGACATTACCAATCAGCAAAGGTATAAATCATAAATCATTTTTAAGTGGCAGGGGTAAAGGTGGAAATGGAAAGATGCAAAATTATGAGTCTAGTTAGGACACAGATTGTCATTTTAAATCTTTCCCTTCTCTTTAATCTATTTTATATTGTCTGGTTTATCTGAAAAGCAAATTAACAACTTTGTTTCGTCATGATAAAAGCATATCTTGAAAAATAGTAAGTGGTATTGTGAAATTCCATGGAAAGTCTTAATTTTAACAATCACAAAGTGCTAAGTCTAAACATATATAATGCTACCTAAATTTGTGCCACTTAAGCCACCTGTTAGTGGCCCCTGGAGGGAAAGGTAGAAACTGGCTTGGAACACAAAAACGGGCCCAAGCTCAGAGAATGGCATCCAGACCAATCACAGAATGAGGCAGCTCCTCTTCCTCCCTGACTGCCCAGCTCAACTGCTCAGGCCTGACTTGACCTGCCACTAAGAGAGGCAAGAAAATTTGGGGGGAACTTAGGGGCACATGAAAACCAGGTTATCTTTAAGGAGGTTCTTATCCAGAAGGTCAACAGCTCTGATACAACTCTTTAGAAGCAGAGCTTGATTGACCTTTTCCAAAATTTGTTGGGAGGATGAGATATTACAGAAATCAGGAAAGAATGAAACAAGCCTTCACATTTCCAGAAGAAAGGATCATTTGAGGGAAGAGTTTCATAAACTAGCCCTCTATTCAGTCCTTGGGATTACTTACACAAATAGCCTTCGGTTTTGGTCCAGAGACCCCTTTTCAGAGATATCTTCAAATTTTTGCCGGATTACATGGATGTTCCTGGGAAAGATGGGCAAGAATCACAGGGAGTGGATGCTGTGCTGAGTGGTCCTCTCCAGTCCTGGGGCCACACTTAGAGGTTCCCCCATTTCACTTACCTAGCCAGTAGCTCATTCTCTATGGCACGTTGGTCAAATATGTTCCTTTCCTTCTCTTGAGCAATCAGCAGTACCAGAGCACTGGGGAAAGAGAACAGGTGGCCCAAGACTGCCATAGAACTTGTCCTTTCTCTGTCCTAGTAAGAATGAGAACACAGCTTCCCTCACAGAGCAGATGTTTCCTCAATTTGGGATTGTGTCAGGCATAGACACCTAAGGCTATAACACATTATTTCCTGAAAATAGGAAACTTGAAAAATAGAGATGTTTTTGCCTCTTCTCCAGTGGGAAGATTAAATATTGTAATGACGTCATTTTTTGGTGCAGATTAAAACTTAGATTTAAAACCACCTCGGCCGGGCTCGGTGGCTCAGCCTGTAATCCTGCGCCTTTGGGAGGCTGAGGTGAGTAGATTGCCTGAGCCTGCGGGTGCGAGACCCGCCTCATCTCTACAACAAATCAAAAAATTAGCTGGGCGTGGTAGTGCATGCCTGTAATTCCAGCTACTCGGAAGGCTGAGGCGGAAGGATCGCTGGAGCCCAGCAGGTCGAGGCTGCAGTGGCCGGGAGCGGCCACTGCACTCCAGTCTGGGCGACAGAGTGAGACTCCATCTCAAAAAAATAAATAAATAAATAAAATAAAACCACCTCAAAAACCCAAGAGGACTTTTATTTTTAACTTAACATAATGTTTCTAAAATTTTTCTGGAAGAATAAGCAAGTAAGAGCATTGAAGAGTATTTTATAAAAGAACAAGGCAAGGAATCAGGGGCTAATGGCTCTATTAGTAAACTGTAAAGGATATAATAAAAGAGCTTGGTTCTTGCATGAAGCATTAGAAAAACTAAATGGAATCCTACAGAATGCACATGGCCAATATAAATAAGTCATTATCTCCTGGGGCCTCCCAGCATTCTGTGATATACATAGGGCCACACTGTCTCATACTATTAATGGGATCACTGGGGCTTACCTGGCCTCATCCTCTGTTTATTCACGTGTTTATTAAAGAAGCAGGGCTTGAGGACCCAGGGAAAAGCTTATGCCAGAGAACTATTTCTTTGGCTGCCAGCTAAGATATTTATAGTCGTCAAAGATAGGTCTTGTCGCCACCATACTCTTACAGCCAGTGCTCAGCAGTACCAACTCCATTTTTACACAGCTGTACTACTTTGTGCCTGTGTCTTCTTACTGAGAGCCTTGGAAGTCCATACTTTGGCTTAGGTTTCTAAGGGTATATTCTGATCTTCTATACTTGTTTGCTTGTCTGACTCTGCTTCTCCCTACTTCAGCTGAACCTTAGACTAAATTCTGTTTACCTGACTCCTTTCAACTTATTCATAATATAGGTCCTAGTAACCCTCCTCTCCCAGTCTGCCTGAAGTCTCGAGGTCAGATGTGACATTAAGCTGAGTCCTGGCTTTGAGTTGGGTGGCTGAGATACAAACTAGAAATGGTGCCCTCACAAGTTATCTTGCCCTGAGAGAGTCCTGAGGGCCAATGACCTTGCTCTTCACTTTGCAGCTTGAACTGCCTGCTTGTGTGTGAGGGGTGTGTCTGGCACCTGGCCCAGGCTGGCCCACTTCCAAGAAGATGCAAAGCAGGAAGGCTAGAGACCACAGGGTAATGTGGAACTGCATGCCCTGGCTAATTAAGTCTGCCTGCCACCTGCCAAAAAATCAGAGCCAGAAACATATTCTACCTCCTCCTGCCTTCAGTTCTGAGCAGTCTGTTAGGAGTAGGACTGGGAAAGTTGTCAGTTAAGAAAGGTGAATTGGCAATAGCATACTGGCTGGGAATGAGGACCCCTGAGTCCTAGTCACTGGCAGAGCCAGGACTTGTGGTGTGTACTTGGGCAAGTCAGCTTCTTTCCTTGGGCCCTGATTTTCCCATCTATAAAATAAAGGTATTAAAAAGATCATAGTTCTCAAGGTTTTGTCACCAACAACCCTCTTTTCTTAGTCTACTCATTCTAACCACAGTCTCTATGTTTTGAAAGAGTTTATCTAAATTGAAAACATTTAAAAGATCATGATATAATAGATGACAATCAATCTGCTTTACAAATGCAGTTCTTTAATCCATACTATGGGACCATACCTCTTGGAGGCAGAACAGGATAGTTGGGAGAACACAGGCCTTAGAGGCAGATGAATTCTAAACTTACTAGTTGTGAAACTTTGGGCAAGTTATTCAAATGCTCTGAGCCTCAGTTTACTCTTGTATAAAGTAAAACAAGTACCTGTTAAATAATAGCTATTTTTACTATTGAAAGTATCACATAATGAGCCACACTGAGTTTTTTAAAGCACTTTTTAGATCCATGATATTTTTTAGTTTTCACTAACAGTCTTTTATTATTATTACCCCTATTTTACAAATGAGCAAACGGAAGCTCAGAGAAAAGAACTTGCCAGGGTCATGTGCTGGGTCAACAGAAGAGCCTATCTGACTCCCACAGTGGGGGAATGCCAGTTCTGCCTCAGGTGCCATACAGCTCCTACCTACCAATACCTAATTATGAGCACATGAGTATCTTCTCTCCATATTATTCACATGCTGGCAAGCAATATTCTCTGTAGTGTTTGTCCATTAGCCATTTCCCAGCTGACTGATATCCTGGCTTTATTCTCTTTCTTTCTTTTTAATTTGTTTTATTTTAAAGGTGTGTGGTACAATTTATGATTGTTATACAAGTGGACATTGTACAGATAAATTTTGGGCCTCTCTTTGGTCCCCACTTTGCCTGGTTTGAGATCAGGTATGCTTATTGATGTTATGCCCTTGCCCCCCCGCCACCCCACCCCTGGCAGTATCCTGCTACTGCCAATCCCTTTCTTATAGTATTATGGTAAATGTTCAGGGTCCACTTATGAGTGAGAACATGTGGTACTCTTCTTTGTTTCTGTGGTAGATTACTCAGTATTATCGACTCTAAATCTATCCAATTTGCTGTGAAAGTCCATATATTTGTCCTTCTTTATGGCTGTGTAATATTCCACCATTTATATGTACATTTTTTTGATCCAGTCAGTGGGCAGCATGGTTGGTTCCATGTTTTTGCTATTGTAAATAGTGCTGCAATAAACATGCATGTGCAGTTATCTTTTTTGTAGAATGATTTGACTTCCTCCAGGTATATTCCCAGAAGGGGGATTGCTGGGTCATACGGAAGGTCAATTTCCAGTTCTTTTAGAAATTGCCACAGTTTTCCATAGAGGTTGAACTAGTTTATATTCTCACCAGCAGTGTAGAAGCATTCCCTTTTTGTGTATAGTAATTGGTAGGAGTCTTGTTTCAATCTTCTGCATGTGGTCAGCCAGTTTTCTCAGCACCATTTACTGGATAGGTTCTCCTCTCCCCAGTGATTACTGGTGGAGGCTTTGTCAAAGATTAGTTGGTTGAGAAATTGAGGTGTTGCTTCCAGAATCTCTATCCTGTTCCAGGGGTTCATATGCCTATTCTTGTACCAATACCAGGTGGTTTGATTATTGTAGCCTTATAGTAAAGTTTAAAGTCTGGAAGTATAATACCTCCTGCTTTGTTTATTTTGCTAAGGATTGTTTTGGCTATTGATCGTTTATGTTTCTATATGAATTTCTATATTGTAATTTCCAGGTCTGAGAATGATGTTGGTAATTTAATGGGTATTGTGTTGACTCTGTAGATTGCCTTGGGTAGGATGGACATCTTAATTGTTGATTCTTTCTATCCATGAGCATGGAATATTTTTCCATTTGTTTGTGTCTTTTTAGATTTCTTTGAGCAGTGTTTTGTAGTTTTCATTGTAAAGGTCTTTCAGTTCTCTGGTTAGGAAAATGTCAAGGTATTTCTTTTTTTTTTTTTCTTTTTGTGGCTATTGTGAATGGGATTGTGCTTTTTATTTGGTTCTCTGCCTGTTTTTTGTTTTTTTTTCAGTTGGAGTCTCACTTCGTCACCCAGATTGGAGTACAGTGGCACGCTCCCGGCCACTGCAGCCTCGACCTGCTGGGCTCCAGCGATCCTTCTGCCTCAGCCTT